TTTGGGCCTCACACTAAAAGCCCATACTTTGTAAAAGAGGAGGAGCCCCTTATTCTATAAAAAGGGACTCCTCCCTCATTCTGAGGGGAGGAAAATAGCCAAGCCATCCTACAAGGCTCAAAACTCTCATACATTTAGAGAGAGTCCTCATACAATTCAAGAGGCTCTCCTTCCTTCTCCCCCACCCTCCTTTCTCCGGGGGACTTCCCCCAAACACTTGTATCCATACAATTACAGAGAAACAGAATCAACTACAGTGTGGACGTAGCCCATATATTGGGGTGAACCACGATAAAATCCTTGTGTTCTTTGTGTTCTTTGTGTTCTTGAGCGTTTGTGCAGATTCACGGTCGGATTTACGTTGTTCCAAGACCGTCCCGGTTTTGTGCATCAACAACCTTCATTGGTAACAATTAAAAATATCGTCAGTAAACTATTATTTCAATTATTGGAATGGTATAAGGACTTAAAAAATTAAAATACGGAAATGTATAATGAATGTACCTATAACGGTGTTTAACTGTAAAAAAAAAAGAAAATTATGACAATTTTTTTTTAATTTTCAAGTTGTTAAAAAACATGTAGACGGGTGAAAACTGGGTAATGGTAAAATAAAGAAGATAAACAAGTTAAAAAGTGTAAATGGGTAAACGAGTATTAAACGGTTACGGTTAAATGAGTATGCAGTTATGGGTATGGTTAACCGTTTATAAACGGTTATGGGTATGGGTACAACTATTTAAGCAATTACCCAACGGTTTAAGCAATTACCCAACAGGTAAACGGTTATGCGGGTATGAGCATAAACGGTTATGAGTAAATAACCACGGTTACCCGTCCATCATAACCGTTGTCCAACCCTAGTACTTATCAAGTGCACAAATACCAAGAATCACAAAAACCACAATCTCATATCTAAACAATATTCAATGTTGAGCAGTAAGCCACAGTCACCACAAAAGGCTCACCTTGACCGAGAGAGATCCACATAAGTGTTTTTTTTTTTTTCAGCAATGCGAAAGAGCCACTATAACCAGAAAATGGAGATGATTAGAAGACAAGAGAAACATGAAGGAGACAAGAGAGATGTCACCAAGGATAAAGCCAGGGGTCCAAGGCAGTGTAATTTTCTCCGAGTTGGATTCTCTCCGAGTTGGATTCTCTACTCTTCTCTTTTCATCCTCATATCTTTTATTTTCTATTTTGCCTTTTTTTTTTATAAAAAATTAATATAAGATGTTTATGTGACTTAACCGTGACCGTTCAAATAGGAGGGAAGGAAAGGGAAGGAAAAAAAAAAGGGGAGAGAATCCTACTCCAATTTTCTCTCTAGTGGCTATAAATTTTTTTACAATCCAACTTCGTGCCCCCTATTCGTTTAGGACGCCCTTTGATCGAAGGTTAGGTATTACTTCATTTGTTGTGTATATGCTTTTAATTTGTTAAATAAACGTCTTTCTCGTGTCATCAAAGTTCCTCAAATGAAATGAACCCATACTAGAAGATAGAGTAACTCTAACATAGAAAAATCGTGTGGCTAGGATTGGTAGAGGCAATTAAGTCCCTCTTTCTGCATATCTGTTTTAATCTTCCTTCCTACCCACATGGTATGGAACGACCACACATGTAAAAAATGTTATGTTAAGGGTATGGAAATTTGGTTGAGAAATTTTCTTTTGCCTTTGATTGCTTAGCAAACTTGATTGGGACATGTAACAGAGGTTGGTGGAAGTGGATTGTCTGCCCTCCTATTTCCATATTTTTCACATCCTCTCCTGTTTGTGTGGTCACGATTAAGACACGTCAATATTTTATATTGATTTTTTTTATAAAAATAATAAAACAAAAAGTAATAGGAATATAAAATGTTGATGTGGTTTAACCATGACTACATAAAATAGGAGAGGATGAGAAGAGTATGGAAATGGGAGGGCAAACAATCCACCCCATATTAGTGACCAAACGTCGATTTGTTGGTTTTGTGATTATCCATAAATTAATGACATTTTTCAGTCAAATCACACTAATTTTATCATTTTTAATGTATATTTTAGATTTATTAGGTTTTGTAATTTGCAACCAGACAAGGATTGTCTGCCCTCCCACTTCTGGTGCCCCCCGTACCCTCCTGTTTTGTGTGATTACGGTTAAGCTACGTCAACATTTTATATTATTTTTTATAGAGATAATAAGACAAAAATGAATAGTAATATAAAACGTTGACGTAGTTTAACGGTGATCACACAAACAGGAGGGCACGGGAGGGTAGACAATCATTGTCCCTTGCAACCCCTTCCTAACATCCACTTGACCACGACTTGCAAGAATTGGCAGGGAGACATCCACTAAATTCAAACTTAAAACCTCTAAATTTCAAATAAAACATAATACAACCAGACTATAGAACTGAATGACGATGGACATTCAATACTTTGTTTGGTCAATTATCCCGTTCCCATCCCACATTGCATTGTATCAATTATTTGGGGGAAGCTGACTGAAAATTCAATGTTGTACCTGTCCCTTCCCTAACAATGGCATTTATTAGGATAGAGTAAAGGCTATCTTTGTTCACACTGCGTCGTTTTTGTGCATGTGTCATGCTAACTTGTTGGTATCGATCGGTCACACTAGCGCTTTGATATGTATAACAGTATAAGTTGTTGATATGTATAAGTTGTTGGTATGTATAAGTTGTTGGTATGTATAAGGTCTTTCAATACTAACTTGTTGGTATCGTTCTTTCACACATGCTAAACTCATGCTAACATGCTAACCATATGATTCACTCACCCATATTGGGAAGGGACATGTTCGTACTATTCTGTCTTTTTGTGTATTTTTTGGATGGTTGTAGAAGGAAATGAGAGCTATTTTGTAAACTAAATTTTTTTTAATACTATGCATGCAGTAATTGAGTTAGAACTCATAGATCGATTTACTTTAAATTTTAAAGTGAATTGAAATCTTAAGAGATGTCAGTGTGTAATGTTTTTTTTTTTTTTTTTTTTTGTAAAATTATAAATTTCAGGAGTTAGTGAAATTAACACAATATGATATGGATACTAAGTTGAGAGTATATTCGTCAGAAACAGCTAGAAGAGATTACATTTTTGGAACAAGTTTAGTTTTGGTTGGCTAGTTTGTAAAAGAACTACCAAAGCCAATCTCTCGTGGATTAAAAAAATAGGGTTTTTATCACAAATAATTTTTGAAATTAAAAATCAATCAATGTAGTCCCTGAAAATAGATGTTGCAAATCAATGTGGTCATTCCCTCATAATTTTGTTAAAAATTTCATTAAGTGCTGATATGGCACATAAATGGGCCCTATAAGATTTACGGGTTTTTATCACAAATGATTCCTGAAATTGACCTACACTATCAAAATGGTCCTCGAAATTGACCCACACCATCAATGTGGTCCTTGAAATTAAAATTAATTAATGTAGTCCTTAAAAATAGGTGTCGCAAATCAATATGTTCATTTTGCCATTATTTTGTAAAAAAAAATTGTTATGTGCTGATGTGAGTTTAATAATTAATTAAAAAGTTTGTCTACATACCTTTTTGCACAATGAATTTTTTTTCTTCTTAGTAGGGCTTACTCCAAAGAGAGATCTCTTCCATAAGTTCTCAAAGGCACAAGGCTTAACCAATTCCTAAGAGGGGGTGTGGAAATATTTTTCAACCAACAATAGACGCACCTCGGTTATAACCTCATTATCTCAAGGCAGACCTCACCGTTCTTTGCATCACCAGACCACCAGGGAAGCGCCGAATAAACTTTCTAAGATTAAAGTTGTGAAGATGTTGATCGCCTAAATGTTAACGGTGATGTCCCATAAGTCATTGTCAATGGGCCAAACCATCACCAAAGGTGATCTCGATCCAAGTTCAATTCGATGAAGGATGTCGAAGTGTGTAAAGATGAGTGTATTGATTTTTTTTTTCAGTGAATAGAGAGCGAAGGAGGTAGAGAAATGTGGACAGGGATTGGAGGTGATTGCAAGATTGGATTTTTGGGTTGATAAATTTTTTTATTAACTATTAAATTATTAAGCCTATTTGTAATTTTTTTTAAAATTTAATTAGACTTGTGTGACCCATTTATGTGTCACATTAGCACATAACAAAATTTTGATAAAATTGTGACGGGATGACTACATTGATTTGAGACACTTACTTGCAAGATTACATTGGTCAATTTTTAATTTTAGGGACCATTTTGATGTTGTGGGTCAATTTCAGGGACTATTTTGATGTCGTGGGTCAATTTAAATGACCATTTGTGAGAAAAAATGGCTTATATATAAAACTTATTTATGTGCCACATCAGTACTTAACGAAATTTTTAACAAAATTTTAATGGAAGGACCACATGGATTTACAACATCTATTTCAGGGACTACATTGATTGATTTTCATTTTTAGGGACCATCTTGATGGTGAGGGTCAATTTCAAGTACTATTTGTGATAAAAACCCAAAAAAATAATCACAACACACGTGTATTGACCTAACATGAAGAGAATACATATATAGTGTTAAATTTTTTATTGTGACCGGAACATGGGTAGTATACCACGTGTTTTTATAAAAGTTGTGGGAAATTTTATTTTTTTAGTTATTAATTTTTTAACACACATATCTCACAATTTGTATAGTGACACATGGTGTACCACTACATGTGCCGGTCATATTAAAAAAATCTCTCATATATAGCACAGATACATCGTCACGTGGCGTTTAGTGCCCATACAGTAAAATATTTAAACAAAAGCTTACGTAAGTCTTTATTTTAGGGGTGTGATATCCACATACACTTTTTTACTTCTCACACACCCTTCTAAGTTTCGGCCATTGGATTGGGTAAATTGAAGAAGATCAAATGGTAAAAATTAACAAGGGGTGTGTGAGAACTAAAAAGGAACGTGGATAACACATCCCTTATTTTTATTAGACCCGTGGATCAGCGAAAGTCCATCTCCGACCCATTCATTATGTATGGCCAACATAAAAACCAAAAGCCAACCCATCAGCAACACAACCCGAATACCACAACCACACCATGTGGGCAGTGTCCTACCCGCCCCCGCCACCACCATCTCAACCTCTCATCCCCAAACCACCTCCGACGTACCCCATCCGCCTCTCTATTGTCGCCAAGTCTCAGCCGCCATCCCAAGACCTCAGAGGCTTAGGTCGATCAATCCTCACAAAACTCAAATCCAATCCCAACCCAAAATTACAAGGAAAGCAAAAGCAAGATGAAGAGGATAAGAAGGTAATTAGTGGGTCGGATGTGCTTTCCGCCATGCAGAGAGCAGCGGCGAAGAAAAACAGAGAGAGCGTTAAGAAAAAGAAGAAGGCACCGCCGTCGTCGTCGTCATCCTATGCGGGCAGTCACAGGGAAGAAGAAGGTGTGGACGAGTATGGCAACGTGAGGCCCTTGTGTGTGAAAAGCGAGTGGGGTAGTAGGTTGGATGAGTTGGGAAAACGCCTTAAAGAGCTTTCTTCCAAGGCCCCTTGAGGCTGGAATTATGCCCATCTATGTATTCCTAATTTTTAGTGTGAATTATATTATTTGTTAACCTTTACTTATTTTCATGCACAAAAATTGAGTGCGTGATTTGGTTTGGTTTGATTTGCTCTAAACTTCAAATTTGTAGCATAAATAAATTAAACTTATCAATTAATACACCATATAATACGCAAATGTGGTATAAATGATAAGATAATTATACTAAATACATCAAGATTATGTGAATGAGAATTCGAGTTTGATGCAAAGAGTGGAACACACTGCTCTAGCCAAATTTGTATACTAATCATGTTGGTTTAGTTTGAGAGGTTTAAACAATTCAATGATTTTTTTTTTCTCATCCTAAATAAAAGAGTAAATTGTACAAATGGTCCCTCAACTTTAATCAAATTGGAGCAATGGTCCCTCAACTAAAAATCCATTACCATTGGTCCCTCAACTTATCAAAATGTGTAGCTATAGTCCTTTTTATCAATTTTGTCATAGATAATTTTATGTCAAAATAAGCATACTGTTGGAATGTACCATCTTTATATAATTAGGTTCATTACCACTATTTCAAAGTCTAGGTCATAATTTAACCTCAGTTTGTGCTTTTTGTCCCCAACTATGTCAAAACGATTATATTGGAAGGACCATTGCTACAAGTGGGTTAAAGTTAAAGGACCATTTCTCCACTTGAATTAAAGTTCAGGGACCAATGGTAATGGATTTTTAGTTGAGGGACCATAGCTACACGTTTTGATAAGTTGAGGGACCAAATATTATTTTATTGAGGGACCATTGCTCCAATTTGATTAAAGTTGAGGGACCATTTGTACAATTTACTCTAAATAAAATATCAAATTTGAAGTGTCAACTGTGACCAGTGTGAAGAAAGTTGAAATTGCACCATAAAACCAAAAGAAAACTAATGAAAATGGCTTGAAAACTTTGAGTTTTAACCAAAAATCATGTAATAACTTTATTTAATGGTTAGGACAAAATCAAATACTAAATCAGTCTTATTAAAATGGCCCAAATATTGAGTTTACGATTTTATCCCTAACGATAAGCTTTTGTCCGTTAATCTCTCTTCATTATGAATCTCTCTCATATTCTCTTCCCCATTTTTTCCTGACATTCAAAACCTTCCATTTTTCTTTCTAATCTCGCATAGCAACTCCATTTCTATCACTATGTAAAAACCACAGCTTCGACCCCAAACCTAATTTTGAGCCATCTCCATCTCTGTGAAAATTGGAAACTGTTGATGCACAAAACCGGAGGTCTTGAAACAACGTAAATCCGACTGTGAATCTGCAAGAAATGTAAATAACACAAGATGTATCGTGGTTCACCCCAAGATTTGGGCTACATCCACACTGATATTGTATTTCTCTGAAGAAGAGAGGGCTCTGAGGGTGAGAGCTTGAGAGGGGTGAGAGGCCTAGGAATTAGCCTCTTCTAATTGTAAGAGGGTGAGGGTCCTTTTATAGAATAAAGGATTCCTCACTTATTACATATTTGCCCTTTCCTTTATCACATAATAACATTTAAGTCCCCAAGTATTTGTACGAGATCCAAATATCGAGGCCCTAAATATGGTATAAACAGTAGTCCCCCAAGTCTTCAGTCAAAAGAGTCTTTTGGCTGGAGACTTGAAATTCAGTCCATGTGTGGGCCGAAGTAACTAGATGTTGTCTTGAACTGATGTTCGATATGAGGCGGTGCTTAATCTGAAATGATGCTCAACTAGAAGTAGCATATGCTGCGAGACTGTTGGCTCGTGGCTTATGTTGCCTTGGTTGGCTCGGCTTGTGGCGTTGAAGGTGAGGGAGTCCCTTTTATAGAATAAGGGTTCGCTCCTCAATACATGAATGATGGGCTAGAGTTAAGGCTGCTCTTAATGCTCTCTAATGAAGGTGAGGGAGTCCCTTTTATAAAATAAGGGCTCGCTCATTAATACATGAATAATGGGTTAGGAGTGATGCTTGTGGCGAGGCGGTTGCTCAGTGGCGGATACTCTTAACGAAGGTGAGGAGTCCCTTTTATAAAATAAAGGTTTGCTCCTCGTACGAATAATGAGGAGTGATGCTCGCGGCGATGCGGTTGTTCTGCTCTAATGAAGGGAGGGAGTCCCTTTTATAAAATAAGGGCTCGCTCCTCAATACATTGAATAACGGGTTTAGGAGTATGCTCGCGGCGAGCGGTTGCTAAAGCTGGTGGCGATGCTCTCTAACGAGAGGTGAAGGAGTCATTTTATAAAATAAGGGCTCGTTTCTCAGTAACATGAATAATGGTTAGGAGCTATGCGGCGAAGCGGTGCTCAGGGCGCGGCGGCGCATGCCTTCTAATGAAGGTGAATGAGTCCCTGTTATTAAGGGAATAAGGGCGGCGGCTCTCTCTAATTACTAAAGTGATGGGCTATTAGTCCCCCAAGTATTTTCCTCATGACGTTGCTATCTATATCCGAAAGGTTACAGGAGATTCTTTTTATGAAATAAAGGGATCGTTTTCAAAATATTAATGGGCTAAGTCCCCAAGTATTTTGTATTTTCATGATGCCCAGTTAAGGCCCAATATATGGTACCTAATGTAGTCCCCCAAGTCTTCGCTCAATAGAGCTGTTGGCTGGAGACTTTAAAGTGAATCCCCGTATGGGCCGAAGTGGCAAGTTGTCGGAGGGCAGTATTTGTATTACGCGCTAGCATTGAAGCTTTGTAGGTGAAGCTTTTGTAGAGTGAAGCTTTTGAAGCTATAGCTTTTGTAAATGAAGCTTTTGAAGCTAAAGCTCTGTAAATGAAGCTTTTGAAGCTAGAGCTTTTGTAAATGAAGCTTTTGAAGCTGATTGACATGAGTGATGCTCATGAATGTTGACATGAGTGATGCTCATGAATGTTTATGTATGATTGACATGAGTAATGCTCATGTATAATTTGAAGTACTCGGCGTACTTTTGATCATCTGGTTGGAGATAATAGCGGTGGGGTGCCGAATAATTTTTTGTAGTATTGGGCGTACTTTTGGTCACTTGGTTGGTGATAATAGCGGCAGGGTGCCGAATAATTTTTTGTAGTACTGGACGTACTTTTGGTCACCTGGTTGGTGTTATTTTGGACTTATGGGCCTTTGCCCTCCACATAACATTCCAACCCATTTATTTTGGGCTTTGCTTTTTTTATTTTTTATTATTACCCTCTGATGGGGTTTATACATATATCTCCGAAATATACGAAAAATAAATTACATCATTCTGGTGGGGTGTTTACTCCTTACTTTTGCAATGTCCCCATGTGCCTCCCTTTTACTTTCTCTTTTTATTTTCTCAGAAAATGATTCCACATGGCTTTCGCCTTTTGCTTTCTCAGAAATCAGGAAATGATTTCAAAACCGCTACCACATGGCTTTCTCAGGAATCAGATAATGATTTCTCACCGCGAGCACATCGCTTTCTTCTTTTACTTTCTCAGAAATCAAAAAATGATTTCACATGGTTTTCTCATTTTGACTGCATAGTTGTATCCACAACGGTAGGAGTCTGCCCTGGTTTGTAAAGTAGTCATGCTCTCTATGTCGCTTTCCACAATGAAAACCCCACTTCACTCTAAAAGTGCTTGCCAAGCCTTCTTCAACAAAGAGTCGTAGTAGTCATTGAAGCAATCCAGACCAAGGATCCCGTCTTCACGGTGTTTGAGCGTCGCTGACCCGTGAGTCTCGACAAAGGCCGCCGCGTCGGTGACGAGGATCGAGATTTCGTAGCAGGAATGGACTCTGGCAGATGACTCGACCCGTTTTTTCCCAGGCGAGTCCACTTCAGTTGTAGGTTCTGAGAGAGTGGCGGGAGGGATCGGATGGCAGATGATTGGTCTGGATCAGATTCTGAGATTCCAGCAGTTCAGCCGAGGAAGGCGATTTGTATCAGATCTTGGCTTTGGGCTACGTGGTCGTGGGTTGACCCACAAAATCGCGTCAGTTGATAGATTCTCAGAAACCCATTTGCAGACAACAACCACATCCTTAATTTTTGCAAACCCAGTGAGAGAGACGTGTGGTTTTGGGGTGGGTTTGGATGTGCTGGGCCGAGAGCAGGCCGTTCAGGGTTCAGATTGCATTGACGAAGAGCCATCTTTGCCTTAATAGATTTCTTGACTTCCTCAAGGCGAGCAGCAACCTTCTCATCATCTTGCTTCCCATGAGGTTCACTGCCAACACCATCTTCATCCTCATGGTGTTCCATCTCCGTACTTGTCTCCACTCATAGAAACCCTATCACAGCAACACGAATTTGTTTCACAAACGAAGATTATTGAAGCTTACGACGTCGACAGCGACTGCACTCCCTACCGAGATCTCACTCGCGAAACAAAACCGCAATATGCACCACACGTATATCTCTGTGTGCGCGACTCTGTGTGTGTGGGAGAAGGAGAGGAATTGGGTTGAAGAATAATTTAAATGGTATGAAGAAATGTGGTGGGAATGGGGAGAGACGTGAGTTCGAAGGCAGAAAGAGAGAGCTCTGTGTCTGTGTCTCTGTGTGGGTTTTGCAGATTCACGGTGGAGGTGAAAAAATGAAAGATAACCGACACAAATTTTCGTATCGTTTCCCACAGATGGCGCTAAATGTTGATGCACAAAACCAGAGGTCTTGGAACAACGTAAATCTGGCCGTGAATTTGCAAGAAATGTAAATAACACAAGATGTATCGTGGTTCACCCCAATGTTTGGGCTACGTCCACACTGATTATTGTATTTCTTTTAGAAGTGAGGGGAGTGATGGAGAGAGCTTTTGAGGGTGAGATAACTCTTCCCATGGCCTAAGAAATGGCCTCCCCTAATGAGGAGAGTGAATAATCCTTTTATAGAATAAAGGCTCCTCACTTATTATATATTTACCCCTTCCTTTATTACATAATTACATTTGAGTCCTCCGAGTATTTATACGAGATTTAAATACGGAGGCTCTAAGTATGGTACAAACAGAAACGATCTCTTACAAGCAAAACGGTATGTTTTGTCACTCTCTGTCTCTCTCCCTCCCTCCCAAAATTTCTCTCTCTCTCTCTCTCTCTCCCTCTCTCTCCTCTGTAAAGATGAGCAAGGGATCTGCACTTTCACCGATATCGGCAAAAAAGTCAAAGGTGAATTTCTGCCCTTCCTTCCTCATTCATCTGATTATTAAC